CCATTGTTAGGCTGATGGTCCTTCTTGAGCATGTGATCAGCTGGTTTTGGTTGTCAGCAGCAAACTGGTTGATCCACTCTGAGAAGGTGCTATTGAAGAGACTGAGCTGAAAACAGCACCTCAGACTGAGGAAGTCTCTTGGATGAGAGACGAAACGTTTCTATATTTTTTTGCTTTGTTTTGTTTTTTGTTTTTTTTTGAATGTCCAGAGGACCAGATTGAACTTTTTTGGATTTTTCTACCTGGATTATTGAGCATGCATCAGGATATTATACAGGTGGGGTGCCCCACCCTGTCAACAGAACTGAGATCCCCGCCTACCAAACTGAACTTGCCCATCCCACCCCCACCCGGCACTGACATATCACTAAGGTAGTGGCACAAAATACAGGCTCTCTAGCTAAAAAGCCTAAGGCAGCACTTACATTGCCTCTTCCCTCATGTTGAACATCCCCCGTCCCCGCTCAAAACTGTTAGTACAAGCTGCGCTCAGACATGTCTCCGTCCCCACATCAGCAAAAATCATGGATGAGCACCCCGCCATGGCAAGCTACCTAGGGGAAACACTGTATATGAATTAGAGGGAGGCAGGTGGAACATTGAGGCTGCAAGGAGCAGAAGTCACAAAGGTGCAGGACTTCAAGTACATGGGGTCAACTGTCCAGGAAAATGGGGAGTGTGGTAAAGAAGTGAAAAAGAGAGTCCAGGCAGAATGGAGTGAATGGAGAAAAGTTTCAGAAGTGATTTGTAACAAAAGGGTGTCAGCAAAGGTCAAAGGAAAAGTTTACAAGACAGTAGTGAGACCAGCTATGTTGTATGGTCTGGAGACAGTGGCACTGACAAAAAAGATAGGAGAAAAAACTGAAAGTGGCAGAAATTAAGATGTTGAGGTTCTCCTTAGGAGTGACAAGGTTGGATAAGATTACCATACTGTTGGATTTCATATTTTTATACCTTTTTTATATTTCCTGTCAAGCATTCAAATGTTATGTTATACAAAGTGTGTGTCTAACTTCCAGGGTTGCACTATATTTATAGAAAATGTTTGCTAATTCTAATTAGTTGACCTTTAAATATAATCTCATATTAGCTAAGGATAATTTTACAAGTTCACATTTGATATATTACAAGCAATCAAATCATGCCAGATAGCAGACTGATTAACATAAATAAAGCTAGAACACATTTCTTTAATTTAGACAATATAGTTTGACTAAAAAAGATCCATCAGTATCTCTCTTAATAATAACCATTAACATTTAATCATTGTTGAATACAG